ACACTACTTTTGGTCAGAAAGAATTTTTTTTAATGTTTTTGAAAGTCTCTAATGTTCACCAAGCCTGCATTTGTTTAGTCTACAAAAGTACAGTAAAAGAACTTTTTCTATTTGAATATAATTTAAAATCGAATTTATTCCTTTGATGTCAACGCTGAATTTTCAGCAGCAATTACTTCCGAAATGTGATGTTCCAGACACATTTCTTATTATTATAACAGTTAAAAACAGTTTTAGTGCTTAATAGTTTTGTGTGAAACTGTGATATATTTCATGATTTTTTACTGTTTTATAAATTGTAACATGATACATTTCTTTACTGTAAATTTGATCAATTTAATGAATCATTGTTGAATTAAAGTATTAATTTCTTTTAAAAAATGACTTGACCCCAAACTATTGAACAGTAAATATATTATATTATATTATATTATATAGAAATAATATAGCATCCATGCACCTTATTTGGGATGCACTAATAGTATGTGAATTGGGATTTAATACGTTGAGTCATTGAATATGAAGTATTGTCTGTGATTTTGAGTGTCTAAATTGGTTTCTGTGTATGAAAATAATAGTGCATCATTTTGAATGCTACACCTTTTCTCAACCAACATCTTAATATTTGAGTCTGTGACTCCAGACAACGTGACCTTAACTCTTTATAAAGTGTCTGATGTTTATGCTGTCAAGTTTGCTTGTTTTCTTACTGTATTCAGTGACTATTTAGACTCTTATTTCTGTATTTTACTGGATTTTGAGCACATGAAAAGAAATAAAAAGAACACATCTGCAGTCTGTAATATTGCAACATTTTTCTCTTTAAGCTTCATGGTAGAATACTCAACCTATATGTAGGATAATGAATCTCAAACAGTGCATGTTTGTGTTCCTTATTAAAAGCCACTTTGATTTGGGCTGCTGTCCTATCTGTGTTTATTTCTGTTTCCTTATTTTCCATAAAATGCTTTACTAACGTTAAAATGTCAGGCTTTTATCTTTCGCACACATGATGCTTCTGTAAGTTTCATCCTCCTTTGTTTTTTATTTTCATTTTCAATTCTGATGAATCATTACCAACTCATCTCAGCCAAGCACATGTTAAACAAAGGTTTTTGTGGGTTTTTTTCAGATTACGTTCGGATCAGAGATTCCCAAGACCTACTATGTTCGAGACTCCATTAAAGTGGACTATGATCAGTGTGTGACTATTGGCCGTGGCTCATCTCATCAGGTGGAATATGAGCTACTTGCACCAAACTGTGCACTAAGGTGATCTGAGGAAACACAAAAATGCTTTCTAATACTAATACCACACAAAAACACACTCTCTGAGACTGATAACAGACATGGAGTTCGCCACGAACCAGTCAGTGTTCATGACATTAAAGGTGCTGTAAACAAACCAGCAAGAATCTCTGCATGGGACGTGCATTTGGGTTTACTAACATTGGGATTTGTTGGCACACCTTTGAAAGGCCTGGATTTGGATGCGAGAGTGTGAGCTTGTGAGCTTTTCAGTCCAGGAACTTCTGTGTGTGATTCTACTCTATTCAATGGTCTCCTCTTCAGATGGCAGTTCAACTGTGATGGTGCCGACATAGGTTTCGGTGTCTATATGAAGAAGAGGATGGGAGAGTGGATGAAGGCTAGTGAGATGAAGGAAGTTGTGCCAAATCAGCGTTACAACGCACACCTGGTACCCGAGGACGGATCCCTCACCTGCCCAGAACCAGGAGTGTGTAAGTACAGCCTTACAGGCTTCATTTGATATCACTGATTGAGATGAACATTAAACGTGCATGTGGCTTTACTGTATTTTGTTTTATTCAGACGTACTGCGATTTGACAACACATACAGCATCTTCCAGTCCAAAACGGTCAGCTTCACAGTGGAGGTCCTCCTACCTAGTCAAGTCAACCAATCAGAACGTTAGATATTATGGCAACAAGCAAGTAGACAACTAGGTTATGGTTTAGAAACTATTGCTCAGAAGCATAAACTCACAACATCTTAGACAGTATATCTGCTTTAGTAAATATTATAATAATGCTGCTCTCGAAAAGGAGAGTATGTAATTGAACTGACCAATCAATGCATTACAATGGTGGGATAAAATTACACTTCAGTGATCGACGTGCAATGAGAGACTGTATCGTCCACTGACATATCTGGATCCTGACTTCGATGCCAGTGTGATTCTTTGCATTTGTTTTTTCTGAGATGAACCTGTTATCAGGTTCATTTGTTATATATTAATGAAGTGCTTATCATTGAGCCGTGGCTTAAGTGTAACAGCTGTGCTGCAAATTACTAGACTGAAACTGTCTTGGCATGTATTATTTGAGCTTGCCCTTGTGTGCCCTCTTTATGATTGCCTTAACTCATGTTCTTGGAAGTTATTTGATCTGTTTAGTTCTTTTTGATAATGAATTAATTCAGATGATGAGTCTGCACACATTTCCCTCAGAATGTGGTAAGAGGTTAAATTATTAAATACTTTTATGTTATTGACGCACACAAATCTGTGAACCTTTTGAAATATTTTGTTTACAAGGAGCAGAATTTTGTTTATGTGATGCAGAATATGATGTTGACATCATGGGTGGTTTGCCTTTTTTAATCCTACTTTTTTAAAATTATTATTTAACTAATTGATGTTGTAAACTTTTGCTTAGTAAGGAGATTTTATACCTCAGGTCCTTGTGTTTACGGTAACAGTGCTCATATTTGATTCCAGCAATGTGCATCTGTTCTGTCAATGTCTTTCTATGATTGACCACATTATATTTTCTCTTATTTCCATGTCTCTTTTTGATATTGTAATATTGATGTAATTTATGAGTGATATTATGTTGATTTGAATTAATTTACTAATTAAATATATACATTGCAAAAGCATATACATTTTTTCTTGTCTTTCTGAACGATATTAATGCAGGCCTATACTTTTAAAGGAATGTCTAACAACCAGTTCCCATGCACAGAGTAAATCTACTCTAATTAAAATAATTTGGAATAAAGAACGTTCACTTAAAGCTCGGTGTAGATCAAGACTGCTTCATGTATGGAGGTTGTATGCAGGGTGAGTGTTGTGTGATATAACTGCAGTAACGTTCATTTGTAGCCTGTCTGATGGCTCTACCTGTTGGTGGAAGCGTGTAGCGCCATTATAATGAAGCCAGTAGTTACAGCTCTGTCCATTAGAAAGTGCCATTAAAACGGGAATCTAAAGATACCGAAGAGTAGCTTTATTTGCATAGCAAAAAGAAGCATTACATTTCCAAATCATTAATAAAAATATAAATTGTAATTGTTTAACAATATAGTTTTTATTGGTTTTTATTTTATTTATTTTTTTAAATCATAATACAGCCTTCGTGAGCATAAGAGACTTTTTCTTTGAAATGTGGAGGTGTTTGTAGTGTTTATACAGTGATCTAATCTATAATATAAATGTGAAAATAATTGGATCTAATACAAAAATATCATGTATGTGTGTAAATCTGATGAAAGCTTTCCAGAATTTAGAACATATTTGTAAGGAAAATTAAGATTTGTATTGTGGCATCCATCAATGTACTGAAATGCAATATATATTCATAATGTAAATTTTAGTTTACGTGACTTACTGTATAAACACCACAAACATATCCAAACCTCAAAAACCGAAAGTCTGTTATGCTCACCAAGGCTGTTTTATTTTAAATCAAAACTACAATAAATAAAATTAATACTGTGAAGTTTTATTACAAATTAAAACAAATATTTTCTCTTTGTGTATATATATATATATATATATATATATATATATATATATATATATTTATAGAGAAAAAATGCAATCTTTATACAAAGCACA